AAGCTAACGATACACCGTAGCCAACCTACTTTGCCAAAGAACTGAAAGTTCTTTGAGTTGAGACTTTACTCTCCAACGGGAGTGACCTAATCTAGGTTCTACCTAGATTTAAATTGAACTAGAGGTAATCCTTACCGAATGTTAATTATAGATAACACGTATACACATGACATAGACCATTGCTAACGTTGAGTTGCATGGTGGTCGGGTGGAGTACCATTGGGTAAAATGAAATCTGGTGGGTCCATCAAGTAATTTGAGTTTTCTAGGAGCCCATCTAGTAATTATCTTGGATCCATATATATCCAAATATTTCCAAGGATAGCAAAAGAGCTTTGCGCAAATATCAAGGTTTCCGTAGTAATTGTACCACGTTCTTTAGTTGTTCAACATGTAGGAGAATGAAAATCTCAACATGGGTACTTGAAAAGCCCAGGAAAAGAAACTCTGATGTTGAGCACAAATTTTGAATTGTAAACCAAATACCTCTGGTTTTGGAAAATGCATCAAATGTGTCTAGCCTAGTGTGATGATAGATACTCTTGATGGCTAGACATAGAATGCCCCTATCTCCCCTTAATACTTCAATGCTTCAAAGAGTTTTTGTATCCACTACAGTTTGGTTTGTGTAGTGAGATGATTACAAACGAGGGTTTGAGGAGGCATGTCTCTGCTGATTAGCACATGTAGTTGACATGTTAATGTCATGACGTTTTTCAAAACATTCTCTTTCTTCTCAAGTTACAGTTCGATTGCAATTGAAGTCCCTTAACGAAGTTCTTCGTTTCTTCTTCATACCAACACAATTTCGGAACTTTAATATGTTCTGGAGAAACATTTATTGCATGAAATGTGGGGTAAATAAACCAAGAGTTACAAGAGATGGCAAGACATGTTGAAACTAGTGCGTGGATAGCAGATTTGGAGTGGGGATTCACGCCAATGGACACAAGGGAGTACGCAATACATACTTGCAGGCTTTTCTCTGTCAACGCAGACTGTGAAGAGCGCTGAGAATGTTGAAAACAGGTAAGGCCGCAACCTGCAGATTTTGTATCCACTTTGGAAACGTTCACAAATTATATTCTGTTTTAGGATCTAGATTCCTCTCAACATGCTTCAAGTTGAAAAGTCATGGAGAATAATCTGCATCCAAATAGAACTAATATGAAGGTATTTTATGTGATTTCATGAGACTTGGACTATTTCCGGCCTTGGATCAGCAGTCATTGACCATTGGTAAGTCTGCAATACTGAGAGTAGAAAATAGAAAAAAATAATGATCAATATTTGGGAAGATTACAGTAAAACTTCAGTGAGACTAAATTTTTAGCCAGTACAATTCTACTAATCCACTTAATGTAGTAACACCTGTGCACTTGCACAAAAACGAAGAAATAACAATAGGGTAATAATATCGTATTTGACGCCTATATGGGTTAGGGCGGATAGGTCCACATGCTGCGGGCCTGCTGCCCGAGGCAAAAGCCCTCCGTCCTATTTTGCTAAAAGAATAGTAACCCTGATCTGCAAATATTAATTATAGTCTATCGTGTGTTTCACGGAAAAAGTCTATCGTGCCTTGGATACTGAAATTGGGTGTGGGAAGCAACCATCCGGTTTTAAATCAAAGATGTGGGAATAACCCGCAATAGCATCAAAATGTGAAATACACCGTATCATTCGTATTATTTCATATGTAATTAAAAAATTTCACAAGTAACACGAATATTCCCCAAAAAAGTCATGTGAGGATGTTAGGTAACCCCATGTATGTAGAGTTATTTGGTGATAACAATTCTTTTTTTTTTCTACGAAACTATCATTTTTCTAAGAAAAAATTCCATATATGGATGTTACTTGAACTAATATTCGATTGGATTGATTTGGTAACCGATTGATTTTGTAAAGCTAACATCATCCAAAGTCAAGTGAATAGAGTGATGCCGCATAAAATATAGTTTATTGTTCGTTGTTCACCTACCAGATTGGAATATTATTATCTGTTTGATTCGTCTATTGTGTTTTTAGTCTTATGGATCACAAAATCAGTCATACTACTAGCCTTTTTTCTCAGTATATCTCTGGTTAGGTGCATGTTTCTGGATCTTGACTTATTCATGCATTAATGTTTCCCAAATTCTACAGGTTTAGTTTTTCACGGCTTTTTCTATTCATCTATCCATTACATATTCTTTGGATATATTAGTATATAAAATGACACAAATATTGACACAGTCCTTCTTCGTAAAAAAGAAAATTGATTGTCATTATTGATGCCAATAGGGATCTAGACTTTTATAGCATATGTGATTATACGTACTAGATGTAGAGCTAGTAGACCATGCAATGGAATCAACTTAGGTTATATCGATAGTGAGTATGTGAGGAAGCTTTTGAGCGGTTTGCAATACACTAGACTTAGGGATTTATTTGTATGACTTGTATTAAACTAGGACACACCTAATTCTATACTGTTGCAATTGTCCACTGTCCGGTAACTGGTTTTGATTTATCGTGTTTGTGTGACACAATTTCATAGATTGATTAAAATGTTATGAGAGTGGAACACGTATATCTCAACTAGAAGGGTATGAAAGCATGTGAGATATTTGTTGATGAACAGAGACACGTTAATTGTAAAGTGAATAAGTAATCAGTTCCCTTTTTCTATCGTTACACATGAAGCACTAGCCAGTGGCACCGTCTTTGTGTAACGTGATTGGTGATCGTAGATAGCATTAACGTTGACTTTAAAAAGATCACATAATGCAATGACGGTAAAGGTCAACGGCCCCCATCTTGATTCATCATCACCGGGTCGCGTCCAGACTGTGTGTGCAGGGAGGTCGGTAATAAATTTTGCGTGATTATGATTGTCAACTAGAGGTCGAAACTTTTCGAGCCTAGAGTGTCTGAACATTGACATGTTCTACTGTCATCGTTGACTCTGTGACCATTCACTTCTTGAGAGTGCATCACTGTCGATCCTGCGATCGGTTTGGAGCAGAAAGGATCAGCTCGCACTTGCAGCCAGCACCGATTTCTGTCTCAAGGTGGCATATAGTACGCAGTCCTAAGCTAAGACGGTGAAAGAGTTCAGTGCTGAGAGATAGAGATCCGATGAGCTCAATCATATAAGAGGATAAACTGGATTGCGAGCACTGTTGAAAGCTTATCGTTTCCTGGGACGACAAAAGGCCATCTTGCCCGAGTATGAGAACTTGGCACATTTGTTCCTCGCCTCAGGTCAGTTCTGCCTAGAAGTTCCTTCGAGCTTCTGAAGCCTCGGCCGATTTTCATCGATTGGCCCAAAGCGAGGTCGCAGTTTGAATGCCAACCCTTTGACAGACAATGTCAAATTAGTGCCGCCAAAGTCAAACTTACTCCCTTCTATTCAAACTGATGATATCACAGCTGAGCTGAGTTCAGTGCGCAGTCTTTACCGAAATTATGGACTAGAGCAACGAGAATAAGCATTGACAGAAACCTTTTCCAAATTACAAGAGCTGAGTACGGCTTAGAGAATTGGGAGAAATAAGAAGGTCATCTCAGGAAGTCAGAAGACTAAAGTAGTTCACAGTGCGCGATGGTTAGCAGAATTAAACCTGCAATTTCGGCGGCATTTGCTGAGACTGCATCGTACTGCCATACACAAGATAAAGTCAGATTTCTCGGGATTCAAGTCTGCGAGAAGAAAACAACAAAGTGAATCGCAGATACACAGGCCTCACGAATGCAATCCGGGGCCTTCTGCAAAAGGACACTGGCCACAGTGAGTTGGGGTAAGTGTGAGCTTAAATCTTGAGCTGAGGGCGGGCAAGCAAAGTTATTTTGTCTTTGGTGGGTGCCGAGGTGATCATGGACTCATAATCATGGCCAGCACTTTTCGAGTCGTGTTACTCCCAGATCTAGTGCACGAATCTCAAATTCCACATGAGCAGTGGTCACGACTAAAGCTGCGAATGATAAGCCGGCCTTCGGATCCAGAAGCAATAATCCAACAGATCCTGTCACAACATGGATGAATTGTGAAGTGTGAAAGTGGCGTCCCTTCTGGCCGTGTCCAAGTGGTGGAAGGTTGACTCTGGCCCAGAGAGAGAGAGAGAGAGAGAAAGGAGCATCGTCCAATTTTGCGGCACTCCCTCAAGCTCTCGAAGACTTTCTTCACCACTCTCGGGCTTCCCCCAGCACCAGCACCGCCACGTTGCGGGCTCTGAATCCGGGACCCAACCTGCCACCGTGGATTCCTCCTCCAGCTGGAGCTTGGGACGGCAGTCGTGCTGTCGGCTGCTTCTGCTCAGCCCTAACTTCTGGCCGGCAGGGTAGGAATGGGGGCTTACGTGGTAACTTCGACAACCCATCCACACGGCAGGAACGGGTGGAGCGGACGGTGAAACGGACGGGTTTAAGGAAGGCATGACGCACGGCCGGAAAATGATAACCACGGCAAAGGCATCGCACATAACGAAGGCTCTTGATTAGAGACAGTCGTTTGCTGGGCTGTGTGACAATTTTCACTTGTTATGTGTTTCGTTTCATGCTTCGATTTAAGTGGAGTATGGGAGCCCCTAGTACACCAGAGGAAAGGCCTGAATCACATGGTGAAAAGAGCAGGAGTAGCCCAGAGGCAAATGTTTTAGGTGAAGAGACGAGAACACGGTCGGTTGTCAATTGACGGCCTGGGCACAAGTCCTGCGATCAGCACTATCTATGATTGGGAACGTTGGCACTAACTAAGGTTTTGGCCTTTCGATGAGCTCTTGAGCTACCTGGACATTGTGGAGTGTTGGTCTCAGGTCATCAGGTAGCTCGATCCTGCGATCGCACGCAAGGTGGTGGGAGCTCCAGGAGCCAGACGGCATCGAGCAAGCTTCTTGCAAGATGTGCATTCGACGTCGTTGAATCAACTCCTGGGAAACAGCTCAATGAATTCCAGGCGATAGAACAGATGACAAAGAATGAACGAGTGAAAGAGATTGTGGGAGAAGAAATTATGAGCGCACTTCGTCCAGGGGCTAGAGACAATCTTTTATACGGTACGAAGTCCAAAGGAAACAGAGAATAAAAGCTGGGAACCACCATCGCAGCTCCGGATTCAAAATTGGCACTTCTGCATTGCATCCAAAAAATATCATACGAGATCCATTCAGCTTACTTTGCTACAGCAGCGTAAAGCTACATGAAATATTTTCATCTCGCAAATGCTTAAGAGTCGGCCCCTTCCTATTGTAGAAAGGATTCTCTTCCTGTCACCCGGTGACACCCCTGACCCGAGCGACAGTCGGTCAATTTTTGAGCAGAGAGCAGTCATCATATTCTAAAAGCGCTCGGATGTAGCAATACCTGACAGTACCTCCCGGCAAGAGAACCTTGCCAGAATGAATGAATGAATGATTCTTTGATCGATACTATGACTTCGACCTCGGGCTCCTCCCCACCCCCCCGGCCTGTCCAACCCTTCGTCCCCACGAGCCCGAGCGGTGAATGTGAGCTGTGGATCCTAGAGTGCGAAATGGGCTCGTGGAGACGTGATAGCTGAGAGAAAAGGCTCCGCAGAAAGCAGAGGCTGCGCCAGGCCAGAGCAGGAAGATGTACGTGATCGAGGTCGAAATCATCGAGTAACCCTAGTCGGTCCCTAGCATATTGTTGTTGTTGTTGTACACGCTTGTGATCGTGATCGTCACTCTAGCTAGGCCTGGGCGTCTGCTTTCCTGCCCAGCGCCAAATTCTCGTCATCCCTGTTTTTATTCTGTTCCAGGAGGCCGATCTCCTCGTCCGGCTCGCTGGCCTTCTTCTGGGTCTCCTTGGCCTTCATAGCCTGAAGCTTGGCGTGGTTGTAGTAACAGACTCCCAGAAACGCAACGCCATATCCGATCAAGTTGACGGTGGTGACCTGGTCCATGATGATCGACCACGAGAAGGCGATCAGAAGCCAATCCTTAACGACGCCGGCCACATTCATCGTCAGGGCCGACGTCTTGCCCACCAGGAGGAAGACCGACAAATTGAGCGCGAAGGCGCAGGCGGAATTCATGCCGAAGACGACGAAGTCGTAATCGGACGTGGCCGTGGCCTTGAGGGCGAGCTTCGGGTACTCGATCAGGCACCAGGGGATGGACAGGAACACGAAGCAGCACGGGGCGACGTAGTAGAGCGACGTGATAGGGTTGAGCGAGATGCCCTTGGAGGTGAGAAGAATTTGGATGAGCACCAGGCGCGTGGCTTCGAAGCACACGGCGCCGAGCTGCAGCAGAACGCCCCAGCTGTCAAATTTCGCCTCGCCGTACGCGGCGATGGCCACGCCGACGGAAATTCCCACCATGTTGGCCATAGTCTGCGACTTGAAGGTCTCCCTCTTGAGCATCACTCCGATCGAATACACGGCCACGGGCATCAGAGCCTTGAGCATCTGGATGAACGACACGGACAGGTAGATGTAGGCCGAATTCGAGAGCCACAGACTCAGCGAGAACAGCGCTCCGATCGGCACCACCGACGACATGTAGAGCTCTCGAGTCATGCCCACGGGCTCGACGAATTTGAACACTCGCACGAGCAGGAACGCCAGCGACGAGCAGAAGCCCATGTGGATCATGGTCAGACTGATCGGGAACGGCCAGTCGTACATCTTCTTGTCGAGAATGTACTTGTTGAAGATGATCACCGTGAAGCTCAAGAAGATCCATATCGCCACGTACGTGTAGCTGATCACTATCTTCTGGAACAGAGTTCCATTGAATCCCAGCCCCTTCCCCATGGCTCCCTCCCTCCCTAGGTCGTGCAGCCCTCTTCGCTCCGGCCTGGGCAGGACAATGTGCCACCCTGTGACTCCCTCGCTCGCTCACTCACGCCGACGATTCGTCAACCATGCATGCCCCACAATCGATCCTTGCTTCCTCGCTTCCTCGTCTGTGATCGACTCCGCCGACACAAATCCTTCACCGACGCCCTCGGCCGATACGCGCAAATCGTCGATAAGATCTCATGGATTGACAGCGAGCTCGGAAGAATGGCAGAGGTCGGCCGGCTTGCCCGGCAGAGGTCTTGCAAACAGTCTGGAAAGAGAGCAACAAAAGACCAGAGCTATGAGCTGCTGCTAGATTCCGGATCCGTGTGCATGCGGTCCTCGGGGAAAAGAGAGAGAATACTGTCCAGGCCCCACCCCACCTCAATCAACGACCGATGCGGATCTGGCTCATAAGACAAACAAGCTCTCGCAATGAAATGACACGAAACGAATCGAAACAAAACGAAACGACTGAGCTGAGCACTGCACTGCACTCCGCTCGGCTCGTCGGTCGGCATCGATATCACAAATCTGGGAACAGCAGACGGACTCACCTCCAGATCCAGATCTGAGCCCGATAGAAAATCCCGGTAGTCGGTAGATGCAGATGCAGAGCAGAAGCTGAAGCTGCCTCGAAAGCTGGCACGAACCCGGACGAGCTCCTCCAAGTCGAGAAATTCTTTTCAAAACCCCAAACCTGTCGGTTCTGGTTTTAAGGTTTCGATGGAGCTCGAAAAGTCGAAGTCACACAGCGAGAGCGAGCTCCACAAGTCCTGGATCCAAAGTTTTCTCGGTGGTCCAGTCCGCTAGGGCCTGTTTCACATGGCTTCACTTTCTTACCACGAGAATTCCCCAGGAACTCTGCGGGCTGCTATTGAGACCGGTTCATCCCATGCCCATGAAAAGTGAGCTCTGTTTCGGTGTCTGGGCTCCCTCCTCTTCATATGCTCCCTGTCCCGTTGACGCTGCTCCCCATTAATTTATTCTTTATGCTCCTCCTCAACTACGGTACAGTACCCGCTTTTCCTCTACCATGTTTCAAAAATATATTCCTCCTCTTGGACTCAAGGCCTCAAGGACGTGGGATCCGTTTTCTAGACATGATCATCTTGAGCGGGATGTGCAGATGGGATTAGGAGCATTAAGGTGCTTGAGCTTGCTCCCTCATCGACATAGCACCCACTTTGCCCGACTATGCTTGCAATTTGGCCATTGGGGGTTCTTTTTACGCGAGTCGTACATAATTCCAAGCACCCCAGATTGGCCCAGGCGTTCCCCCCTTTCCCTCCTCGTGCATTCGTCGTGCATTTTGTCCCTTGTCCTTTTGCCTTTTTTATCTTCCTCTTTATATACGCACATCTCGACAAGCGAAGGATGGCGGACCATCAAAGGCCCTCGGGACACGAAAATAATCCGTCGCCCTGCCGCATGAGAATGTTGCGCTGTGACCCGCTCCAGAAATTAATCCCGCTTCTTCCGACGCTGCGATCGACTGCATAAAGCGAAATCCTGAACCGTGCTCCAGAATCCAAACTTGCCGCTCGTCCCTCAAGGACAGGTCACTTTCTAGGCTGCCTGCCTGCACCCCAAATTTCAAATGGTGGGAGGACAGAAGAGGTGAATCCGGAAGCTGGTCTTTTTACTCCATGTCGTGGAGGTAGCGACGCAGACTCCGATCTGAGAATCCTCTTCTGGAAAGCGAGCTCATTATGATTATGAAGGTGGCACCCATGGGCCCCACACTTTGAATCTCGTCTCACATCTTCTTCGGCATATGCTGCACCAGCCCTGATTTCCGATCGTTGTAGCTCGAGGGAGGAGACGTTTGATTCCCGAGTCTCGCAGACAGTTGATTACCAAACACTCGATGACGAGCGGTCTTCTCGCTAGCCCCGTAGGCCCCGTGCGTTGGTTCCATTTTCCGCATTTCCATGGCAGAAAACTCTAATCAGCGCGACGGTGGGCTTACGCACGTCTAGTCAGGGCCTAATTCACAATTCCGACTGGACTTGAGATCTGGTCGGCAGATCACTTGTGACTAGGCCCTTCATCATGGTTACGCAACTCAACAGCGGCCTAGCATTGCGTGAAATAACTTCTGGGCCGCATTCCTCGTCAGACTGAGACTAATTCGGACTGCGAGGATTGCGCAGTCGCGGTCGTCTCTAATTCGAAGTATTCAAGGCTGCAGTGTTTGTGATTCATTATCGGTGGTGTGGTGGAGGTCAGAGAAAGAGGGCAATGATACCAGCACAAAATTCACGTGGAATCAATAACGATGGCCTGGAGAGGAGACCGATCCAACTTCGTCTCGATGTGACTTTAGGTTTCCCGGGGTCGCAGAGATTGGCGGCCTTTTTGCTCTTTGCGGGGAAACGTCTGACGGATCGGTCGCAACTTCTTCTTCAGACAATTACTTAGAGAATCATGAAGTTCCTGTTTCTCTGGAGAGCGATCCAGACATTCATGCAATGCGACTTGAGGAGAATTCTTAGGTCTAAGGATGAAAGGGGTCCCGAAGAGAATTGTCTGTACACTTCATGGAAAATCCTCCTCCTGGGCCACATTGCTCACCGACTCTGCCGCCCTCCTCTGCAGTACAATGTTCCACAGCACTCCTCGACAACGAACCTTTTTCCTCAACAGAATGGCCGCTATGCTATGGCACGACGTGGGTGGCTCAGTAATAAGCCGACCTGTACTAGGTACTGCTCTTTCGGACAGAGTGCTACGATCGTTACGAAATTGCAGAGGAACGAACTCTGCTATCAATCGGACCAATGTGCAGGGTACTGGCACCGAAAATCGACGAGAGCTCGTCGAGCAAGTGTTTCTAAAACCTGCTGACAATGAGTTCAGTACGTACGTACGAACGTACGTCCCTTGAACGAACACGAGAGGCTGGATTTGGCTCTCAATTCCCCGACCGAGATTTGCACAGCACAGCACAGCTCTGGCTTGTGGTTTGCGATTCTTCTTCCGCCAGCATGAAATCGTCTGCGAGGGTTGGAGAACAAACTCGAGAGTGATTGGCCTCCAGGAAACCTGGAGACGCTGAAGCTGATGGGCTCATCCATCGCACAAGCAAACTGCCCTTTCACGTTCTACTGAATCGCCGATCTTGGCAAACATCCAAACGAGGGCACATCATGTGCCCACGTATGCGCACGTGCTCGAGTTTCCGAGTCTCCCTGACCGCCCCGAGTCTGTTCGCAGCCTCTAACGAACCCCATGGCCACACCCTTGGACTAAATTTAGAGGGAGAAGCCTGTTACTTGCTGTGATCTCTTTCTCAGACCATATTTTAACAAATTTCGCCATTTGCTTGTGAGGGGACGGAAACGATGACAATGTGAGAGTGAGAACTCCTGTGTCGTTGTTCCACGGCAGCAGAGCAAACGAAACTCAGAAGGTCCCGGCAAAGCAAGGCCAGGAAATTCCAGTTTTCACAGTCAAGGCGTTGGTGAGATTTGGAAGTTACACATGAGGGATTGGGAGTTCAAAATCCTGGATTGTATATCCTCTCCTGAACCATGACTTCCTTAGACGATACCCAATGGACGGAGGCGGGCCGTATGGAATTTCTGAACTCGACCTGATCACCATTTCTTCATCATGCGTCAAACAGGATGAGAGTCAGTGTGGTCAAATCCGCCTGCCTCCACGGGACGAGACAAAACGAGCGGATTGGAGCTCACCTGACCACCGAGATCCTGCCGAGATGTTATGTTTGAGCTTCCTTCCATGATCTGAGGCCAGTCTTACAACCTCATGCAAGCACAGCTGAAGCATGCAACCCCAAGTGTCTATGATAAGATTTTTCCGAAAGGAAGGAATCTTACCCAGAGCTCGGTTTGATATTTTCATGTCATGTCGTGTCATGCATGTGAAAAGATCAAGCATGAACCAACTCCCTTCAGATCGTTTACCGTCTGAGGTCATGCAATCATGGGATTCCAAACCCTCAGGGTGTTAGATGAGAAGGTCGAGTTTGTCAGACCCTAACGAATTCGGTCTAACCCATGTCCAGGGAATTTCTGAATGCGTGTGATTGTTCTCTCTCTTTTTTCTCTTTCTTTTCGTGAAGACTTTGTGGTGGACACTCGAGCTCATGGGAGGTGGCACGTACACGCGAGGCCACGTGTTGCATCTGGTGTCACAACGTGAACATCTTCTCGGTGTCCTTACCGCGGTTGCTTCTGAGAGGACAGGGCTCTGCGCTGTGCAGTGCAGTGCGCAGTCTGAATGGATCAAAGGATCCCGGAGGAACCTTCGTAATGGAATTAGTAATAACAGAGCAATTCTCAGAGCGAGACAACAGCCGCTACTCACTAAATTCGATGACTGTCTGGTCTCCTTGGGAGAATTCAAGGTCGGCATGCAATGAGGACTCTGAGGACATAATATTTTAGATCGGTTGGAGGAAATCCCCGATGGTCATGAGCTCAGGGTTTTTTTCACATTATCTTAAACAATGTGAAAAAAAACCTTCTTCGATTACATTAACTCATGACGCAACAGGGTTTCTTGGATCTGAAATAGTGTATCTTGAAAGTGGAGCAACAGTAAGGTAGACATTTTCCAGGACTCGGTTTCATTGGAGATCGTTGTTGCCGACTATCGAAAAAAGAGCACTGTTTTACATCAGACGTCTCAGACAACAGACACGTCTCAACCTCAACAACTGCATACGAAACGGTCAAGGAGTCCATGACGAATATGCTTCGCGTCAAGACATATGTGGGGTGTTAGGCCTCTGCTATATTCCCTGTGCTGTCTTGTTGGTAAGTCAGGAGATCATGCATTTCGAGATTCTCTTTGTCACATTACCACGAGTACATATCATTTAGGTCGTATATGGACATGCTACATTTCTTAAACCTGGAGATCTGCTGTGCTGCTTCGGTGGACAAAAAACTGTGTACTTACCTCTCTTTAGAAGGAAGGCATTCTGAGCACGATGCAATCCGCACAAAAACGTTCAATTAACAGCAGCAATGAATATGTAATCCTTTTAGACATGCAAATCAATCTCTGTCTTTGAAGTACATCGATTGCCCTCATATCTACTAATCTCCGATGGATTCCAGGCGACTGCCCTGTGCCGATTGCTCATCGTGACTGATCTGCAAATTGGATCGAAGCGTGTACATTCGAGTGCTTTCTTTGCAGTATGGTTACATCTGCAGATGACCAGTTAAGGCTTAACTGTTAAGCATCATTTGTCATCGGGAATATGAAAGTACTGTTGTACCAGGATTGTCGACTCGCTTGTGCCAAACAATACATACGATACGAGTCGATACAATCCATATGTCGTCTGCATATACACCTTATTACCATCTGGTTTCCACTAGCATACGCCCGAATACCAGATACCGAATACTAGCTTCTTCAAGTACTGAGTTCAGAGTGAGACATGTCTTCGAGTGATGCATGGAGTTTTTGTCATCATGAAGAGTTGAACGACAAGTACTGAGAAACTGCAATTTTTCAACCAGATGGAGGTCATAAGAAATCTTGACGATAGGCATTTAGTACAGGCGAATGAAGCCAGTGATGGCAGCCACCTACGAAGTCGGAATATCTATCAGGTGTAGTGAAGGCTCAATATCCTTCACATGATGTAAAACAGAAAGTCAGTACATTGAGATGCTTCAGTTTCAGTTGCAGGATTTGGAGCCGTTTCTCAGTATCCAATGTGATGACAACCGACTTCACAACACATAAAGTTTTTTCATCAGTGATGACGAGACTGCAGTCAAAAGGAGGAGGTATAGACCCATACCTGTCATTTAATCACCTCGTTGCATTTCAATGATAAGCGCACTGTTAAAAGGTAGGCTCTTTCTGAGCTCGGGCAGGACTGAAGCGACAATTTCCTGCTGTTCACATCAAAATGCAGGGTAATTTTGAGAGTGCAAAAGTTCTGTTCATTTTTTCTGGTCAATTCGGGATATAGGATGAGGATCCTTCCGATATGAAGAATCCTTTCCTGATATGTAAAGGCTGCCCTTCAGAGATTTGTTTCAGTAATGCACTCCTTCAGTAATGCAGTCCCTCTCTTTGTGCTCTTCATTCCATCAACGACTGATTTACGTTGAAGGAATCAAGTAACTTCGTTTCTGCTTTAGCTGCCTCCCGAAGTTCCTGCAATTTCACATTTCTCTAACTCTGTCTTTGCCTGCGGCCCCGAAATATTAAATACCGATCATCTAAAAAAGGACAACAAGGGAAGACCCTTGTTGTTAATGTTTGTCAATTTCAATCGTGCATCAGTTTACAAGTCCAGTTTCTCTTTACAAGTCTGTAATCTTTTGAATAAGATTACTAAATTTCTGAAAGCATAGTGTGTAAAATAAAGAATTTGGTAACTTGGTCACAACTTCAGGATATTTTGCTGTGATTGAATGAATCAATCATTATCAAAGGTGTTGGTGTGCGATTGTTCATGTGATAGCTTTAACCAACGTCAAATGTCATATCGTGGTTCATACCACATTAACTTTGCTCATACAAAGTTAAAACTGACTTCTTTCGTACAACCTTATAAGCTTTTATGCACAAAGACTTGATAAGCACAACGTACGAGCCTGAAATGAGTAGAGTCCTGACAATCTCAAGCATCACACATTTAAACTTGTAAGAAATTCTAACATAAAACTCTTGTCACAGCTTAAAATGTGCACGGGATGTGAGGTGAATTGTTTAGAACTTCAGGAAAAAGAAAGCCTTTCACTTATTCTAAGTTCAGAAAGGAAGTATATTAAACCTACGCTTACTACAGTACATGACTTGAAACTTCGTAGCAGGAATGAAGAGCCTCGCACGCGCTGAATCGTCCCATCCATATGAATGATTGAAGCTAAACAAAATTGACACACACTGGATCGGCTCACACCACAGCTCAAATTCACCCCCATCATCTGATGCCACTTGTATATGTAGAGAACGTGGCTTTGATCAACATGCCCTTCTCCCTAGATTTGTTAGCTTGCTGATTCCTAGTACACCAACTGCTGTCGAAAGTCGGATTTTAATGTCTTCCACTTAGATGCAAGCTAGTAAGGGGAATCGGTTATCATCCAAGGTTTTTCACTCCTTAAAGATGAGTTTGTGAAGAAGCTTAGCATTTGAAAACTGTTCCCAAAGAAATGTACTTAAAATTTTTTCATCTCTTGATATTTATGTTGAGAAAAATTTGAGTCATCATTTGCATTACACGATTACAAATATGATATAGATTTTTTCATCATTTTTCAGGAACTTCAAATTCTGTGTATCATATTTTGCATTATGCGTTCAGTTGTTACAGTTGCAATATATAGGGTTAAACTAACTCTATATTGTCAAAATGCACTCAGATGCTATTTTATAATTGAAATTTAGTCAAGCTTGAACAGTAATAATGTAAGAGAATAGTTATTATTATCTCTGCTATTATTATTTCTGCCCGCAACGCTAGACCGCCAAGCGTTCAAGGTCGACGAACTGTGAAATCGCAGCAGCCGCGTGCAAAAATGGTCCTGAGGCGGAACAACTCGATTCTAGTCCTAGGAGCTGCTGTTTGCTTCTGCGTTGCTAGTGCCTTGAGATTATTTTACATTGTATAGATATTATGTAAAATAAAAGTGGAGGTTTTCCCTGTCAACTGAGTAGATGTCTCATTTTTTTTAGACATGTAACCTTCAATTAAAACCTTTATGTCATCATTAAAAATAAATTTACACTATAAGAAATAATTTTAAATAATATTCTATTGGTTTTATTTCATAATTTTAAATAGAAAGTATTGTAATTTTTTTTTAGATCCAAGATTTAAAAAATATTGAAAAAATATTATGCAATTAAGTATCAAACTCAAGTTGATTTTACAATATTTTGAATATATAAAGGTTTTGATTTTTATAATTCGATCACATGTTTCAAGTGTTTAGAATATAGATAAATAGATAGAAAATTGAAAATTTTATATATTTTGAATGTCAAAATAAAAATTAATTTTCACCCATCTACATTTACATCCAGATTTGTGTAAAAATTGCAATTTTTTTTCAATCTTTTGACCTATTTTGCAAATAATTGAATCCATAATAAATTTTCACGAACAACATACTCTTCCATGGAAGATAAAATATATATATGTGGAATTAAATTTCCATAAATATCATTTGGAGATTTTTTAGAGAAATTCAGAAGTTATGGAAAATTATTTTTTCGTATATGATCAAAAGAATGTTTTCATCGTAACAATTAATAATTTTCATGAATTTTGACAGGAATTATCAATTTATAGTAACAGGTCGTCTGATGAAGTTAATTACTAGTATATGCTAAGTTATCTGTATTTTAGTCTTGCATTAACTGTACACATTTTGAATCAGCATTTTCATGGAAATGAATAATTCAGTTATATCCCTATTACTTTTTGCGACAATGCAGCCTTGGAAAAATAGCAAATTATATCATAGAGATTCGAGGTCTTTTAGAGTTACGGATTCCAAATGATATCCATCGACATATTTCTATCCTGAGTAATCATAGGAAACAGGGGCTAATCGAAACGATGGAATGAAGTCGAGGCTCTTCTGTACACTGCACGTAATTTCTTCACAGATGCCTACCACTCCCCTACGATGACGAGGATCAGCGCACATTACATAATTTCTTAGAAGAAATGATTAATGGTGTCTGACTGTTGGCCGTTCTGTGAACATGTTTTGTTTTTTCTTCAGCTGCTGCCTCGCCTTTAGGGCTAAGCTCCAGCTCAGAAAGTTAGGGTTTTTGGTTCCCGGGCAATCCATCGAGCTTATGTACCTTCGCCGAACAATCAATCTTCAGTGCAAGTGTCTGATGCCCGCTGCATTCCTTCGAGAGCCTAAAGAGAGACAGGGAGAGAGACAGGGAGATAGAGGCAGTCGGTCTCAACACAAAATCTGGGAATGCAGGCTCTTAGTTGCACAGATCTCTTCCATTTCGCTCCTCGTTAGTCTTGGTTGATGCCGATAGTCGTGCTGTTGAAACTAGCGTAGTGTGATTTTGTTCGGACCATATCCTTCACAGCGACAGGGGTAACGTAAGCGCAACTGTAGTGTACACTGATCTTCGCTCTGCAATAGAATCTTGCCGTAGTATGAGTCTGGGCCGATTGGAGAATGTGAAATGAATGACGGGGGCAAGATGCTCTTGGCTGAGTATCACCTCATCGCCATGGAACGACCCGCTGAACAGCGTTTAGTGGTTGTACAATCCTGCGAAAACGTCAAATAGAAAGTGTTTGTTGACGGCGGCCATTCACGTGGTCTGCCTCCAAGCAGGACTGCATATTCCATAGCCCTGGAGAGCGACGTCGTTGCCTTTACTCTTTGGGATAGACCATGCAGTCTACATTTTTTTACATGGATTTCCAGTATGTTTAGGGTTTTTCTCGTGGGGTCTTAGAAGTTTGTTGATGACGGGGGTTCTGCACTCTTGGCGGAGTGTTCCCTCTACGCGAAGGAGCGACCTTGCCTTCTGGCTTCTATGTCGTACAGTCCTGCGTGAACGTCAGATAGAGACGGCTCGTTGATGGCTGCCACCCTCGTGGTGTGTACGCTTCCGGGCGGGACGGCATATTCCATAGCCCTGGAGAGCGGCGTTGTCGCAGTTACTCTTTGGGACAGACCATGCACTCCATATCATATAAGTTGTCCAAACTTTCCTGACAGGACAACTCTCCGAGTCTTCACGAAGAGAATTGAATGCTGCATGAGTTATGCCTCCGGTTGTCGAATTTGTGCAACATTGAATTCGCCTCGCGAAGTACTCACCTTAGAGAGCTCCAAAAGGAAGCGTGGACAGACGTTAATCCTAACAAAATAATGCTGTAGGCTTATCAAGAGCCCGCGGAAATGAAACCGTACATGTTGAAGAGCCCGCATTGATCTGGGCGACTTGTTTCAAGCCCCCATAGGAATGCACTCCGAGTCTTCAAGAAGATAATTGAGTGCTTCATGAAGTCACTCGTTGATCTTGTGCAGTAAGAAATTCACTTCAAGTATCAACCACAGCTCCGAAAGGCAGTTCGGACAACCTTAAATATCCTAGAACGCTTCATTCTGTTCACTTGAGGGTAACGCAACCTTTGGAAATCCAACCTTGTGACTAGAAAAACTTGGACAAGTGTTCGCTTTTCCAGTAGGTTGCGTTACCTCTGTGTGGACAAGCGACTCTGAAATCATCACTAGAAGCTGTACTCACCGAAACTTAACAGTAAGCTCACAGATAAACAACCGTGCTAGTAGGAAAGCGGCGTTGGGTAAATTTGCAGATGGAAATGATAAGAACTCCGGCATCTGGATCATCTACATCCATATTAAAGAATATACGTAATGGTCACCACCCTTAAGAAATAGAGGATGTCACATCAGTGTTTATGGGAATCTTGGAAGCCTACTTCCAAGATTCCCTCGGCTACCGCATTGCCACTGACAGAGAGAAGAGTACATTATTTCAATGTACGTAGACCCGCGCCGGTTGTAGACAAAAGGACCTGGACAAAGGCAAAATTCGGAGAGAGCGATAGCTCTAACTGCATCGGTAAATCTCCATGTTGACATGGGAGACAGGCAGTTTTGAAAGGTAGTTAAGACTAAAGATCCACACAAATTCCTACCAGAAAGAAAGTGAACGATACAATGTGTCAAGTTCACGCGTTTATTCAAAATATAACCATCTGTAGCTTTTTATTTCACGTCCAAATAAAATTTCGGAGAGTATTTGCTGACCAACAGGAACCTACAGTACTCATCTATTGGTGCAACAACTCACAGGGAAGAAAGAATTGTTGATTTCGACTAGAATGTTTTACGAACAGTAATGTTCGGGATGTTATTGTATTAATCTACTGCTAAAATGGCCGAGGTACTATTTACAAGCCTAGAACGTGGGACTCTATACTACAATCCCGCAGTGGTCGATGGACTTGGGCCTTCCATTCCAGCCAGCTAAACACTCGAGCAAAGGAGAGGCGAGTTTGCCTTCTGTAATAGCTTCGTAAACAAGCTCAATATCCTGCCCTGGTGACCTTGACTCCGTGCCAACGAGAAGCTTCGTGCCCAAAGATCTAACGAACCTGTAGATAGGATAGCTCCTGCAGTCGCTAATCCTATTCGGCATCGTCGTAATGCCGTTGTCGAATTGTTCCCTCACCATGGGCACTGTGGTCTGAAGTTCATGCTTGACCTGTTCCTCGAAGATAGAAATTCTTCGAAATATGCTGCAGCTCTCGTCGTCATTTGCGTTAGCCATGGCATGACTCACGAGACACTGTCGCAGTTTCTGCATCAATGGGTACGTTGCACTAGTGGCATCATCTATGTAAGAGAAGGGAGGTTGGTCGTCGACCACTTTCAAGAGATCCTTCTCACAAAAGCGTGATGGGAGTAGGCATCCCTGTGTATCTGTGAATAGAGATTTCTTAGCAGCTTGAGAAACCACTTGCTTGACACTGTGTTGCATGTTCTCCTCCAAGTGTCGAAGATCCACAGCCTGGCACAGAGCTACAAGGAAGGTGGAACACATGAGTTTGAAGATTTCGATGGCCTCCTCGGTCTTTCGAGCCGAGATGAGCCCCAGAGAATTCACGTCCTGGTTGTGTTGCTCTGCACTCTGCACATGGGTGGTCACTGGATTGGCCAAGTACAAGAGTTCCGAGGTGTAGGATGCCATAGCTATTTCCGCTCCTTTGAACCCATAATCCAAACTCGGGTTCGGACCTCCTGTAAGGTTCGATGGAAGCCCACTGTTGTAGAAGTCATTGACAAGTTCCGACATCTGAGCAAACATCAGCTTGCCCATCGCTGATATTGCAAGGCGCAAATTGTCCATGGACACTCCAATCGGTGTACCTTGGAAGTTTCCTCCGTGCACTGCCTTATCTCGAGACACATCAATGAGCGGGTTGTCATTGACGGAATTTATCTCCCTCTCAATCGAATGAGTGGCTGCACGGATGACTTCGATCTGGGGTCCAAGCCACTGAGGAGAGGTCCTCAATGCGTATCGGTCTTGCTTGGGCTTCTGCAGAGGGTCCGTTTCGTGGAGTTTAGCTGCGGCCTTCATGTATGAGCTCCCCTCCAGCACCCACTCCATGATGGCAGCTGCTTCAATCTGTCCGGGATGATGCTTGAGCTTGTGCGTGAGGTGGTCGGTGAATTCGGGCTTACCCTGCATCGTTTCGCAGAACAGAGCTGACACCACTTCAGCAAAGAGGGCCAGCACGTTCGCATCGTAACAAACTGTGGAAGCCAGAGCTGAACCCACAGCCGTGCCATTCACTAGAGCTAGGCCTTCTTTGGGCTGCAGCTCGAAGGGCTTCAGCAATCCAACGAGCTTCAATGCTTCTCGCGAATTCACAACATCTCCACACTCCGTCACTGCCTTGGAATTCGGTCTCCCGGTGAGCAGACCTGCAATGTAGGAGAGAGGAACGAGATCTCCCGAAGCAGTAATGGTGCCTCGAAGAGGAAGCCTCGGGGTGATCTGCTTGTTAAGGAGCTTCTGGATCGTTTGTAAGATCGACCACCGAATGCCCGAATACCCTTGCAGCAAAGTGTTCGTTCTCACCAGCATTGCTGCTCGCGTCGTAGACACGGGCAGCACGTTCGAGGCGTCTTTCCCAACAACTCCTGCGTTGAGGAACCGAATCAACTCCTTCTGCAGCTCGGGCCCCTGATCGGTGCGGCGATGGGAGGTGGCACCGTATCCAGTGGTGACACCGTAAATGTCAGTGCCTTTCCTGATGTTGTGAAGCACCCAGTCGGAGCTCTCCTCCACGCGCTCCTTGGCAGCAGCTGCATCGAGCACCACCGTCACTTCAGGACGCCTCGCAACAGCTGCCACTTGGGCTACTGTGAGAGTTACTCCTTGAATCAGCACCTCTTTGCATTCCTGAAACTCGTGCACCAACTTGGACACCTCCTCCCAGTGACTCTGATCCATAGCACGAGCGGCTTCTGCCCACCGTAGAGGATCTTCAATTCTGGCCATCGTCTCGTCAATGAGACTGTGACAAAACTGCAATTCATACCCGGCTTTCCCAGTCGGCATTTGCAGCTGCTGAAACTTGGACGAGTCTCTCACTTGCATCATGGTGAAATTCGAATCCAGCCCACAAGTTGTTCCGGTGCAAGTGCTGGAGACCGAATTCACAGTGAGGTTGACAACTTCTGTGTCAGAGTTTCTCCTCTCCTCTGCAGGTTCAGATTGAGAAGCTTTAGGAGCTTCGGGGATTGAGAAGTAAGTTGAAAGGAAGAATTGTAGAGCGAGGGATGAGAGCGAAGGGGTTTTAACACTGAGAGGCTGGAGTGAAGAAGAACGAGCTGATGGTCTGCTTGTTAGACGAGACTCCACTGGACACAGGACTGGATGGAGGAGCGTCGTATGTACTGATGAAGTGCTGTGTTCTTCTCCTAATATACAGGTTGGCAAATGTTGGCTTCTGATGTCGCACCCAGCTGCATTGGGAATCGGACTTGGTGTACGTCGTGGACTTCTCCGGGTCGTGTGGATTCTGGCTTAGTCGCTCCAAATTCTCCTGGGAGGACTTCGTCATACGATCCATGACAAGAATCCAAATTCTCCTGGGAGGACTTCGTCATACGATTCATGACAAGAATATCGCCTTGAAATGACTTAAGTGACCAACATCTGAGGCGTGAGCGTGGTCTGTCCTCGTGACTGAAAAGCCTACCGTGCAGTAAGCAGGAACTCCATCCATTCATGAACTTTCACAACAGCCCTTACAGGTCCATTTCACTCTATCTAAATTTCCACAAACTCTGTTTACATCTGGGAAAGACTCTCCTTCAAGTTCTGGTTCGACAAGAAATCACGCCTTGAGACTCAAAAGATGACACATTTAAGTATCCTACGATTTGCAGACACTTGCCTGACGTGAGCGTTTGTGAAGCAGCGAGAGAGTATCAGATGGGATGTGATCTGAACGGCGAAGTCTAGAAATGTTTGAACATTGTCCAGCCTAATCATCTTTAAAACAGACATACGATACATTACATTTAAGGATCTTCTGCAAACGCGTTGCGCAGCCCCTGAAGCTAAACTAAACTAGGGTGAAAGTATGATTAGTGCTAGTATCTCGACCGATTGGGTTATGTTGATCTGTTACACCATTGCTGTTTACGAAATTGGATGATGTGATTTCCCAAACTTTTACCGTCTTTTCAAACCTGAAGAATCAAAGTTCTATCTTTTGGTTCTTTAATAATTGGAATGTTTTGATAATTTTAACGACTGTGATTTTTACATTGATGTTTCAAAGTGTGATAAAATCGCAGGAGTCCAATGGTGCGATATTTCTTTGCACTATTCTCAAACTATAAAGTAACGTTACGAATACGCATGTAGCGAGGAAGATGGTCAAATTGTGAAGTAACAAGTCATGAATAATTTACACGAACTAATAGGAAGGATTTACACGTATATCAACAAGTTAGAGTACTATTTTGAATTAATTGGAATATTGTATGCTCAAAAGTATTCTCATTTTTTTATTTTCTCAACCTAACTTGATAATAGCATGGTTGTCCGAATTAGAGAACGATATAGGAATGAAGCCAAGAAAAAGAGAGAAAAAAACGAGAAGAAAGATATTTTTTAAGACCAAATGGAGAATGCGGAAAAATATTTATTCTCTGAAGAAAAAATGCATAATTCCAGTTTCTTTTTTTTCCAAAGAGAAAACCATAAAGTGGAGATAGAACTCATTGACTTTGATGCGCTATCGGGACACCATGAAAAGCTGCTGGGTCGATAAGTCGCCGTCATTAAAACTTTTGTAGCCGCCAAGCTCAGGTGGTTGTACAAATATCCAATCCACAGTCTCTACTTGCATCCCGAATAGGACGCTGTGGCCATGAAGTACATACAGACCGAGATCAATTGCTTCGTTGCTAATATCCACGTAATGAACCACTTTGCTCGCAGTAAAAATAACGAAAGAAAGTTTGGGATGCAAAGTGGCACAAGAATGAGCAAGGGGCTAGGCTAGGATGACAAAAGATATTCCACGAGACCATATTTCAACATGGGAGGACCATATTCTCTCGATTCTGTAAAAGGTCATTTCGAGGACCGAAGACGATTCTGCCAGTAGCGTTTCGGTTCTAACTACCTCCCTCCCTCGGGCCGAAGATGATTTCAACAAGTGACTGCAAGACGATTCTGCAAGTCTGGATGTCAGATATTTGTTAAGTCATTGAAGTGAATTTGTCTCGGCAGGACTGTACGGTGAGAAGCAACAAGATAAGTACGGCGCCCAGACACACAGGTCTTCTAACTTATACTCTGTAGTAGGGGCGAGGAGCATCACATTTGGAATATTCTGATAGCAACGCGGTGACTAGCCTGGTATCTACGGTCGTACCTACGTACGCATGTGTTTTGCGTGGGCTCGTGAAATTAATCGCGGTCTGCAAAACACTCAGCCTAAATTTGACCACAAGTTGAGTCATGGTTTCTTTACGGTCCTCGTTTCTTGGGCCATTTCAGGCACTGCTCTTATGCTAGAGAAAGTTGGTTCTTGAGGCGGGGCTTCGGCGGCACTAAGAATCGAATGAGTTGCATTACAGTACGAAATCCATCGAATGTTTGGAAAACACTTGGCAAAGGCGATTTTCTTCCTCCCACTCCTCGGTCGGTCTGCACTGCCGAGTTTTGTCTTAGTGTCAAGTTCAGGTTGATCTGCAGGACATCCCAAACTGATTTTTTGTGAATAGACTAGGTGGGAAATCTAGTGTAGAATTTTAGATCTTTGTTGTCCTATTGTACTACCCAGAGGCGAACAATCGGACTCACGTGTTGGCAGATTCGGTCGAGGGAAATTTGAATTCCACTCTTGGTACCTGGTCATTCGGGGAGCAGTGATTTACAACTTGCGTCTCACATCTCTTGGGGACCAACTGCTTGTGGAAATATGGACTCGTGCTCTTTGAAACATTCCAATAGCAAGCCGTATCATGTGTCAGGGAAGGAAAGTACAGTACATACAGACTATATACAGATAACGGGAAAATGTCGTCGGCATTAAAAATAGAACCTCAGGATGAAAGAGCAGAGAAAGCAGAGGATGGAAGAGCTCATCTAATAAACAGGACCGTGAGGAAATATTCCACGGCTTAAGAGATCAGGATACAGACAACTGAAAAGTAAGCACCCATACAGAGAGGATCCCACTCAAGAGAGATTTCCCTGGTCATAGGCAGTCTGACCGCGTCCATTGACAAGATTTCGGCCGGAGTCCGGAGTCTGGACCCACCGTGGGTCCAGACTCCGGACTCCGGGCAAACTTCCAAGTCCAGGATCTTCAGCTGAGAACCACAATTTCCTAGTTTGACTCAAATTCAGGACCCTTGGGATCGACTGACGTATTGACAACGGTGGGAAGATGTGCGTGTCCCTTGCGAAGAGTGCTGTTTTAATGGTGTAGCCAGTCACCAGTATAGATACTTGGCAGTTCCGAACTCAGAACACAACACTGAGCATCAGTTGCCCTTCAGACCTTCAGTGATCAACCCAGTGCTCCTCTGCTTGTACCTGAACGAAGAGAGTTTCTAAATTGCTTTCACTCTGAATTCTATCAGTAAGAGCGAGAACGAGGGCACAGCTTGAAATATGGCCAACAATGGAAACGCATCGTATAGCCACCAGCGGGCTGTTGGACCAGCGACGGTTCTTGCCATCGGCAAGGCCACTCCTCCAACTGCGTATCCGCAGAGCGAATACCCCGATTTCTTCTTTGATGTCACCAACACTAGTCACAAGACTGAGCTCAAGGCCAAGTTCGCTCGAATTTGTAAGTCTCGCTGACTGTACATCTTTCTCTTGGATAGGATGTCTTCTTCTATCGTAAGAACCAGACTTTTAGAGCATTTTTCAACTAGGACACATTAGCTCTTACCGTCATTACAGCTCCTGCTCGCCTTGCAGAATTCCTTATTTGTGGTGGTAAATCATGTGATCCTCTGATAGTATATAAGTCATGGTATCGAAAGAAGATTTTCCAAATTGAATTTAACAATTTCTGTATCTTCATTCTTTCTGTTCAGGTAAGAATTCAGGAATCAACAAAAGGTATTTCCATTGTACAGAGGAGATTTTGAAGGCCAATCCTTCAATGTGCTCGTACAAGGATCCCTCACTTGATGTTCGCCAGGACATAGCAATCAGGGAGGTGCCCAGACTGGCAGAGAAAGCGGCTGTGGAGGCGTTGGCAGAATGGGGCCAACCCAGAGATCAGATCACCCACGTGGTGTTCGCAACAACGAGCGGAGTGAACATGCCCGGAGCCGATCTCACTCTCACCAGGCTGCTGGGCTTGAACCCCAACGTGAACCGAACCATGCTGTACCAACAAGGGTGCTTCGGAGGAGCCACCGTTCTGCGAGTGGCCAAAGATCTCGCCGAGAACAACAAAGGCGCTCGAGTTCTCACTGTCGTGAGTGAGCTCACGTGTGTGACTTTCCGTGCACCCAACGAAGAGCATCTGGACAATCTCGTGGGCTCTGCCATCTTCGGTGATGGAGCTTCCGTCCTAATCATCGGATCAGATCCCGTACCCGAGGTAGAGAAGCCCCAGTTCGAGATTCACTGGTCTGGAGAGACGATTCTGCCCGAAAGCGACGGTGCGATTGAGGGAAGGCTGACTGAAGCGGGACTGATCTTCCACCTGCTGAAGGATGTTCCCGGTCTGATTTCCAGAAATACCCTCCCTATCTTCAACAAGGCGATCGAGGTGGCAGGATCTCCAGGCTGGAACGATCTTTTCTGGTGTGTGCACCCAGGAGGTCGAGCCATTCTGGACGAAGTAGCGAAAACTCTGAGCCTGAAGCCAGAGAAGATGGAAGCCACGAGAGAAATTCTGTACAACTACGGGAACATGTCAGGTGCTAGTGTGCTGTTCGTACTGGATCAAATGCGCAGGCGGTCGGCCGAGAAGAAAAGCAGCACCACCGGAGAAGGATGTGAGTGGGGACTCGTCGTGGGATTTGGACCTGGCCTGACAGTAGAAGTATCGGTCCTGAGAGCAATAGCTACCGGTCATTGATAATTCGGCCGAGGTTATTTGAGATTTA